AAGGAAGCTGCCCCCTCTTATTCTGCTAGCCCTTTGTTCCTTCAGCAGAATTCAACCCCACAGGTGATGCCCTCATTCTTGGAGTACTACTCCCTTGACTTCCTTTCCACCACATTCTCCTGGATTTTCTCTTATCTTATGGGCCTCAGTATTCTTTTTTTTTTTTTGTACCTGAATACAATATTGCCTTCTCTCAACATTCTTTCTGGGCCCTTTTTCTCTTCTCTGACATTTTTTGTGAGGGTAAGCTCATCAATTCCCATAACTTTAAATATTAGTGATTATATATTTGAATCCCAAAATAGTAATTCAGCTTTGTTTGACCTCCAGACACGGATTGAACCAGTTTTTCCCCACTTAATTAAATGTCAAAAGTCTTTACCACAGTTTTCAATCAGTCTGTTTTCTCCCTCACCTTTACTCATTCACAAGTCCTTCAATAGGGCCTATATGTATCTCCCAAATTTCCAGTCTGTCTTCCTCTCTCTAGCTCTCCTATCTCTGTTATCACTATGACCTCTCATCTGGACTTGTGCATCTGCACCCTAACTGCTCTTGCCCCTCCTAATTCTGTCTCACTGCAACGCACTGCAGCATAGCCGCAAAAATAATCCTCTTAAAACACAATCAGATCATCTGACCTTTGTGTTCTGAACCCTCCAAAATCTTCTCTCTTCACTAAAGGAAACCCAAACTCCTCACATCCCACAAGCTGCCAGTGATCTGACATCTCCTGATCCTGTCTCATGTCCCTCTCACACTCTCTCTGCCTGTTCCAGTTACACCCAACCTCCATCAGGGCCTCTGTTCATGCTGTTCCTTCTGTCCGTGATTTTGTCTTCCCCTAACTCATCCTCTGGCTGTCTTTCCTCAGAGAGGACTTCCTTGCCACCCATCTAGAATGTTCTGAACCTCAGTTTCTCATTTGCTTCCTTCTTTGGACTTATCACAGTCAAAGATTTTTCAGGCCTGTGTTTAAATACTTGATTGTACACGTTTCCACAATAGAGTTTGTGTTTCATGAAGACAGGGACAAGGAGAGTCTTGTTGTTTCTCATATCCCCAGTGCTGAGCACCATGAGGGGCCCATAGAAACTTCTGGATAAATTTGTGTTGACTGCGAAAGAAGAACCCAAGCCCAACACTCAGCAGATAAACAATGGAAAATAGGAGTTCCGCTTTGGTATTGAGCTTATGGGACACTCAGATCTTGCTCCAGATTCTATCTAAAGCAGTCCACTTCTACTTCGTAGACAGGGAGGGAGTTTAGTCATAGCACACTGAGGGTCCATTAGATACAGAGGGGCTGGCCCCACTGGACCAGACTAGACTGTGGACCTCCTTGACTTCTTAAGCACAGATCCCAGGGAGTTCTGTTACGTCAGATCATGTGGATGAAAGTCATACTTCCATTTAATGCAGAGTGATTGGCACCTATGCTGTAACCTATGTAGGTCTGTCATGTGTGACTGTCTGTCATGTGTGACTATCTGTCATCTCTGCTCATCAGTGTTACGCCTTATAGCATCTTCCTGACTAGTTCAGGGATCCAGCCCTTCCCTGATCTGATTCTGTGGCTCAGCCTTTAACCATTATGACAATCAGTGTCACCTGAGTCTGCCCTGAAATAGTTTGCTGTGCCATATGGCCAATTAGAAGATTATAATGACTGATGCTTTTAAGGTCCACCTTGGCCTTGCCTCTCTGTGGCCAATGAAATCATTGTTTTCAAGGAAAAATACCTGTGCGGTCATGGAGGAGTGTGCTTCACACATGATTTCTCATTGGGTTATGTCTAGGACAACTTCCTAGTCTTTTTTATTCAACGTACATGCCTATAAATTTTCAAACTCCTGTAAAGTGTCTGATTTATAGAATTTTGAGAGATAATACCTCTCCCATTAACAAAATTAATTTAGAATCATGGTACTCCATACAAGGGAATTTTCTCAGCAATAAAAAGAAACAAAATACTGATACATGCAGCGATGTGGGTGAATCTCATTTGCAACACACTAAGCAAAAGAAGCCAGATTCAAAAGACCACACATCGTGTGATTCCATTTATATGATATTCTGGAAAAGACAAAAATACAGGGAGAAAACAGATCAGGGGTTAACAGGGCTGGGGGTGGGTGGTACAGGGAGGATTGATCACAACGAAGCATGAGGGAATTCTCTGGGACGGTGGAACTGTTCTGTATCTTCATTATGGTTGTGGTTACACAGCTACATGCCAACTATGGTAAGTTTTTTGTGTCAACCTGGCTAGGCTACGGTACCTAGCTACTCAACAACACTCATCTAGGTGTTGTCGTGAAGGTATTTTGTAGATGTGGCTAACACCTACAATCAGTTGACTTTCAATGAAGGAGATGATCCTTGATAATGTGGGTGGGCCTCAACCAATCAGTGGAAGAGCAAAACTGAGATTTCCCCTAGGAACGAAAAAACAGCCTCAGGACTGCAGCATTGAAAGACAAATATATAATATCGCTTACATGTGGAATCTAAAAAAAAGGCTACAAATGAACTTATCTACAAAACAGAAATAGAGTTGCAGATGTAGAAAATAAACTTATGGTTACAGGGTGGGAGTAGGTAAGGGGGGAGGGATAAACTGGAGGATTGGGATTGACACATACACACGGCTATATATAAAATAAATAACTAATAAGGACCTACTGTATAGCACAGGGAACTCTACTCAATACTCTGTAATGGCCTATATGAGAAAAGAATCTAAAAAAGAGTGGATATATGTATATGTATAACAGATTCATTTTGCTGTACACCTGAAACTAACACAACATTGTAAATCAACTATACCCTAATAAAAATTATATTAAATAAAAAAAGACTGCAGCATCAACTCCTGGCCCCAAATTTCCAGGCTGCTGGACTTCCTCTGTGGATTTTGGACTTGTCAGCTCCCACAGCTGTGTAAACCAATTTCTTGGAATAAATCCCTTCATATATGTATGGTTTTGTTTCTCTGAAGAACATAACTCATACAATGAGTTTATCAAAATTTATAGAAATATTCACCTAAAAATGATAAATTTTACTATATGTAAAGTATATCACAATAACCCTGATTTAAATTTAAAAAACTGATTCAGAATACTAGTCAGGATTCAGTTTTAGGATATATATAGAAAACATGTGTGTGTGTGCGTGTGCAAATGAACATGTGTGTGAGTTAGTGCACTTGTGCCTTTATGCCACGTGTGCCTTTGCAGGTGTGTGTGTTTCTGCAGAGGATGTGAGGAAGGTGGGTGAGTTTGAAAAAAATCCTTAATCATGAAAGTGGAGTGATAAAAGTAGGTATCTGTTTGCAATCTGGGCTGATTTGGGAGGTTGTTTCATAGCTAAAGAAGGAGGCCCCAGTGCAATAGGACACCAGCTGGTCAGTGCACTAATGAGTCCCAACACTTGAGTGGGGAGATTAAATTAAAAGTAAACTTTTATTTTCTTAGCACTACCTATACACATGATGATATGTCAGGCCTTTCAAGGTAAATGAGGTGAATAAAATATGGTTACTGGCCTCAATGTGTTCACAGGTTATTAGAGAACATATTAGCAACTTTGTAAATAACTGTAACCCTGGGCACAGAAGTGCAGACCCAGGAAAACATGGACTGCAGGAATGGGGTGCTCCAGCAGGGCCAAAGAGATAGTAAGTCTGATACGGTTATCATTCAATAAATATTTGTTGGAGGCTTCCTTTGGGCCAATTTGGCTAGCACATAAGGTATATATAAAAGACAAAACTAAAACAGGGAAGGCTAAAGTGAAAACACTGGATAGACAATTTTTTAATTAGAAACAGCTTTGAAATGGTTTACTTCCACTTGAGAAAGGAATGAACCCAGATGTGAAATGGGTCACCCTGCTCCATAAGATCTAGTTAAGATTTGCTCAAGCCATCATTCCCTTTTAAATGTCCAATGACTTCCTTGAGAGGTTTGCTAATTCCTGGGGTACTTAGTCACCTTCATTTCTGCTCTGATTTTCTGCTGCCCCTGAATCCTTGTTTGCATATCGTGTCTTGAAGCTATTCCATTATGTCTCTTGCACACCCCTCCAGCCATCTCTTCTCATCTCCTCAAGAACTAGGCTCATGCAACTTTCCAGTCATTCCTGTGTCTATTCTAACAATACTACAGTACCTTCAAACTTGAAACCCCTCGACCTCATGTCCTACTCCAGCTACTGGCCTAATTTTGTGCTCCCATTCATTGAAAAATATTCAAAATTTAGAATAATAGATGCATATAGTTTAAAGAAATTAAACAGCCGAAATACCTTCTCACTGGGACACCCCTAAATGTCAGTGTCTGGGGTTCAGATGCTCAGGTTTTTTGAGAACATGACTGTAACCCTATGTCTGAGGCAGGGCAGTGGGATAATTTTTTATCTGGAAACAGGCTACGGAAGGCAGACAGGATCCCCGTTCCGTTTGTAGACTGGCACCAAACCCTCTTGTTTTCAGCCCTCCAAGTTGCCTAGTGTTCCTTATTTTAGAGTCTCTCTGGTCTTATTTCTTGAGAAACAAAAATCTTTTCTTCTTCTACGGGGTGTGTTGTCTCAGATTGTCAATTTAAGCTGAGATTGAGAAATTCCGTAAGTCGAAACTGAAGAAAACAGAAATGCAAGAGAAAAATCCACTGCCTTCAAAAGAAACGACTGAACGGGAGAAGCAAGCAGGCTAGTCATAATGAGGCGTGCGCCGCCCATATACACTGTACATTCCACAAGCACTGCCTTCTTATTTTACTTCTTTTAGCTGTTTAACTTTGTAAGATGCAAAGAGGTCGGATCAAGTTTAAATGACTGTGCTGCCCCTTTTCACATCAAAGAATGGAGAACTACTGACAGCGAAGGCGGTGCCTGCCTCTCCCATCTGCCCGCCTGTCTGGCTGGCAGGGAAGGAAAAGAACTTGCATGTTGGTGAAGGAGGAGGCTGGGACGACAGTGAAATCTAGAGTAAAGAGCGAGCTGGTCCACGGTGTCTTGCGGGCTGTAAAATGCAGTTTAATCAGAGTGCCATTTTTTGGTTGTTGTTCAAATGATTTTAATCATTGGAATGCACAATCTTTTTAATATGCAAATTAAAAGTTTTAAAACCTGAAAAAAAAAGTCTCAAATTGTCATCTAGCTGTGTGGAAAGTGGAAAGGAACCTGGGCAGGGGAGAGCTTAACTGTTCTCTGTATGGAAATTCAAGCAAGTCCCATGCCTCTGGGTGGATGAACTTAGAGATTAACAAGAAGCTGCTGTCACTCATTGGGATGCAGAAGCAAAAGTAAAAGTCCTCTGCTGTTATTTGAAACTTTGGTGACTGAGCAGGGACCAAGCACCGCTGTCTATGAAGCTGCTGCCGCTGCTGACGTCTCCACCAAATTCTGGAGAAGACATGCCTTCTCCCTTCCCTCTACCTTCCAGTCTCCTGCTCGCCTCCCACTGTCAGAATCTTCCCTTTGTCCCTCCAGTCCTTCCAATAACTTTATAATGAATGCCTTGTATTACAGTTTCTTTGTTTGAATATCCTGGAGTGGTTTCCGGTTTTCCTGATTGGATGTTGACATATACACTGGCACCTTCCTCTGTAACTGGTACCATTGTTCTAGTCTTTATAGGACTTAGTGCTCTCAGAAGTGATCTTACTAACTTTTGTTCACTTGGTTATTGTCTCTCTTCCCCCACTCAAAGGCAAGGATTAAGGGAGGAGGGGTCAGTCTCCGGCTGCCTTACTCACCTCTGTGTCACAACATCTAGAATAAACCCTGCTTCCTAGCAGATGTTCAATAGATATTTGTTGCAAGAATGGACACACATGAAAATGAGACCTAAGCACTTTTCTTGGTTTCAAAAAAAATTATCAGTAGGATTCCTTTGGGTCGTACTGACTTTACTGATGGTTGGGGGAGATGGAAAAAGTTTACACCTAAGTATCAGTATCTCCTTATGCCTTTCAGACACGCCACTCTTCACTCTCCGTTCTCTCCTCTTCCAGTCCCCTCTGCACCACCTCCCTTCAGAGCACACCTACCAAAATTCATCCATCAACCACAACAGTCTTCTCCTCCCCAGCCCCACACCCAGATTCAGCTCAGGTCTCACCTTTGTGTATCTACCCCTTATTAGTGTTCCCCCTCGTGCAGACTGCTGCTCTGAACCTCCCCTCCCCACCCCTCTGCCATAGGAAGGCAGCGGCAGACTGGGTTTATTTCCCCACTGATATGAGCTATACTTCTCCCCTTAGAAGGCAAAATACCTACAATTTGTTTTGGTTTAAAACAACTTTTTTAAAAAGTAGATATTAGGTAGATATAAAATTAGGAATGTGTCCTCAGTGACATGTAAGGGTAATCTTCTTGCTTCGGAATCAAATACTACATTTTTAAGGGTAATAAAAGAAAACAGAGATACGTAGCTCTGCTCCCTGGCTATTCTCTAGTGTATATGTCTCCTACAAATTCAAATTAAAGGAGTAAGAATGGTGGGCACATGATGTGACTTTCATGCCATCCATCTTCTGGGTTAACAAAGAAAATTCTTCCAATTCAAATGATTTCAGAAGTCAGAAAAATAAAACTTAATGATGTGTGTGTGCATAAATGTGTATTTCAAACCTTAATAGAACAGATATATTCCAGACATAAATTGGATGCACGTTGCTCAGAAAATTCATGAACTTGGGGAGTGACCTTCAGACAAGGTCGGAGTCACTTGCTTCTTTACTGCTGAGAGCCAGTCACAGGGCTGGCCATTGCCAAGGGCTGCTCAGAGACCTGAGGCATAAGTTGGCAGAGGTAATGGAAAGGGAAGGGAGCCGGGTAGAGTATAGGAGAAAAAAATAGAGAAGATAATAAGGATGTTTGAATACCGTCAGCAACAGCCTCAGGTACATTTTGCTGTCTTAGCTGCGTGAGTCAGCCTGGCCGGAAACAATCTAAAAAAGGCACGGGCAGGGCTGGCTGCAGACTGCGTATTTTGGGTCCGCTGCCCTGCCCACGCTGGAGCTGGCGACGCTGCAGCTGTACTTTTTCTCGCGTGAGGCACGGGCTGCCGGCGCCTTCCAGGGTCCTTCCAGAGAACCACTCATCTCAGAGGTCACGGAAAAGGAGGGAAGTCACTACCTCATTTGCATGATAGTCATTTCTCCCCTTCCTCATCACTTCCTGAAATGAGAGTTGAACATTAACTAGAAAATTTTGTTAATCGAACTAAAATGCCTTGCGTAGCAAAGGAAACGGGGTAAATGAGCTGCTGCTGTAATCAAGTTCCAGTTCTTATCTAAAGCAAGGGAAAGGGCGCCGGAGGAAGTGTAGGTTATAAGTGTGGGCAAGTCTCCCCCTAGTGGACAAATGGCATCACGTCGCACTTGCAAAGATTGTGCCTCGTTGGCGTGAAACAAACAATTCAGAGAAGAACCGGAAGAAAAGAAAACGTGTTATTATGACACGTATTTCAGTCTTGATTTCTAAGGGGTTCTTTTTAGTGGACAAGTAAAACTGAGTTGAAGATTTTACGTATCATTTATGAATTTTTATCTTTAGAGTGTTGGTTATTAATCCCTTGAGTATGACTCCATGTCTCCCCGTAAGGAAGAATAAGCAGAGACAATACCATTTTCTAGGACTGGTTTTGAAAGGCCTAAGTCACTTCTGAGGACGCATCGTATTTGGGAACAAGCTAAGAAAGTTCATGGTAAAAAAGAGTGATTGGAGATTCCGTTTTTATGGACAAAATGAATCCCAATGTCCTTGCCCCTTGAACAGCATGTCAGCAACCTCACCAGGCTGACAGTTCCTCATGGGGGTCCTTGGATCAGCATCTTCTGCCAGCTCTACCCTTGTTTGAACCAGCATCCATGGCCCTGTACTCTTCAGAGAAAATAGAAGTGGCAAGTTATCTGTGCTCTTGACTAATCTTGACCTTTCTCAGTCTCCTCCAGCTATTCTTGACTTTCAGTAAGAAAACTTGAAGTCTATGGAATAGACCTCAAAAGAGTTTTCAGGATCCTAATATATATAGAAAATATATCTGCCTATGTGTACATGTGCATATGTACTTGTGTGTGTGTGTAAGTATTTATATTTCTGGATGAAAGTTTACAGACTGGAAATTCATTGGATTTTCAAAGTATCTGTGGCTTAAGAAAGATTATAAACTACTGATGAAAAATCTCATTCCACTGGAAAAATAAGCCATCACAGAGATGGGGTACCTTGGTTGTGGAGTCAGAATGCCAAAATTCAAATCCAACTGAGATTCCTTAGGAAAGTAATTTAGTCTCTCCAAGCCTTAGTTTCCTCTTCTGTAAAATAAGAATAATAACAAGAACACTTAATCCATTGAATTAATGCAAGAATTAAATGATGTAATGCATGCATGTACTAAGCAACTTGCTTGACCTATATTAATTGCTCAGTAAAGGTTGGTCTTCATTATTATGCTAAACTTCAAACGTGCAAAATGTTAGGTTTGTTAAAATCACACTGTGTGCATCATATATGTTCCAATAATTTTACAATCTTTTGGATGAGGTAGAAAGGTTATTTTTGTCTTTTGATAGAAAAGGGTTATTTCTTTGAAAGAAACTAAGTATGGCTCTATCCAGGGTGATGAACTAGGTCATAGAATTATATAATTTTAAAGCAAGTAGAGACCTGAATTATTATCCAGTCATATCTCCTTCAATGATATTTTGTAGATAAAATAATCATGATGCATTTTGGAAAAGGACTTGCTCAGGTCACTCTTTGTGACTGCAATTCAGGACCCTAACTTTTAATTCTGAGCTGGTTTTACCACAGCTCTCAAAGACATTTTTAGCCTTTTTTCCTCCATTTCATCATGTTCTTAAAGGTCTATAAAAGAAAAGATTGAGAATGGCTGTCTTGTGGGAAACATCACCATCCATCAGGACTCTGCTCAAATCCCTGGCTTCCTGGACCCTCTGGCTCACAGCCAGGTTCTTTTTTTTTTTCTTCTGAGAATTCTGCATATTACAGTCTCCTCACCATCTATCTTAGTCTCACAATGCATATCACATTATGTGTCTCTTTTTTGTCCCATTAGAGTATAAACTTCTTGAAGACAGGAGCTATGAGCTTGCATCTAATAGAATTAGACAAAATAATGTTTCATGAAGGGAAGGATAGAAGGTTCAAAGGGGTTGGAAGAGCATCTATTTCACTGATAAACTTGAACCTGAAAAACTCCAGGGGACCTAGGAAAAGTCCATTGCTCATTGCTGACACTTTCTTCTGGAGTCATCTGGAAGCAATAGGAACTGTAATCAGCCTGTGATCAGGGTTAACAGCACAGAAAGGCTAGAGGTGAACTGTAGGAAAAAATCCAAGACCCAATCACATCTTGGGGACAGGACTCTAAAACTTCAAAAGGGCTAAATGTGAGAGTCAGGCCTGAAAAATAGAATATATGGCGTGGACGTGCTCATAAGAGCAGGGCAAAGTTTGGTTCCTAGACTTTGATCCTAGATCTAAACCTCAAGTGAAAGAACAAAGCAGACCAAGTGCCAGGCTTGGTCCATACATCTGAGATTGGGCAGGAACTGAAGGAGGAGGTGAAATCCCTAGCTTTGAAGATGAAAGCCTTGAGGGCAGAAGTCAGGTCGGACCCCAGTCCCCCCAGTGTTGTCTTCTGCTGTTTCTCAGCCTTTCTTCCTTACTGCACCTCAAATCATGCCACGATAGGTGAGACATGGTCACACTTTCTGCCAGTGCAACAAGTGTGTAGGAGCCAAGGCCTTTTAACCTGACCTTAAATTGTTCTCTAACTTCCCTGAAAGAGTACTCAGTAAAGGAGCCCTAGAGCATTTGTGTGTCTGGATAGAGGATTTGTAAGTTTCCTGAGCTTCTCTGTGATGTCTGTGACTGCAAAGAGGTAAATGGTAGTTGCTCTAGTCTCTCAAGTCTTCACAGCTCTCCAAACCCTCCCAGAAGAATCGTGTTCCTTTACAAGTTCTAAGAACAACAATTCTTTTGAATCCATTCCCTGGACAGTCTTCCCCTGTGTCATAAACCAGGACCTACAGACACCAGTCTTTTGGGGAGGATTCCCTGAAGTTGCCGCTAATCCAGTGCTATCAGAAGAGGACGCCAGA